GGTGGGTGGGAGAAAGCGAGTCGAAGAAACGGAGTGTAGTACACCGTTTAGTATTTGACCGGTCGCGATTCGGACGACGTGCAAAAGCGGTGGTGCGCGCGCGCGCACGCTCTCTACAACGATACGATATACATGTAATATGCAAAGTGTGTAGTCGGGATATACGTGTGGTCGCAAAGGAGAAAACTCGATCTTTATCCAGGATACAGCTCGAATCTCGTCGTCGTATTCGAGCGCGTGGTGGAGTCGCGTGCTCTAGGTGTTTCGTGTTCGATAGTCATCGTCGCGTTGTTATTCGTTTAGTAAAGTGTAACGAAACTTGCTGTATAACCGCGCGTGTATCGCGGCTCGACATCGTGAACGCGTGAAACTGTTGGTGTACGCGCGTCATGACCCGTCCCGAGCTCTCGAGCTCGCGAGCGAATGACAGGCAACGCGACCACGAGCCAACATCGCGATTTCGATGATATCCTCGATCGTTTCGCTTGTTCCTCGCGAGAAGAAGGAAGCAGAGACGAAGCGGGAGGAGGATCGTGACGTGTTCGGCGAATATCGAGATCGCGCGTCTGACATCGAGGTTGATCGAGGATCGGATTAGAAGGGCGAACGACGGGCCATCCGCAAGAGGCCGGGCGAAACTCGCCAACACCATGGATTGGTGGTTGCGGGGACGGATTATCTACACCTACTCGTTATGGGTCGTGTTCAAGGCAGCAGCGGTGGGCGGTATTTTCGGTGAGTAATCTCGCTCCACGCTCTTTTCCCTTTCTTTACGCCTTTGGCGGTCCTTTTGTTCGCGAGTGCAGGGAAAAGGGATTTGCCACGTGCTAATCCGCTGCCACGATGCACGCTCTTTGACACGCGATTACGTTATGTTCGAAATACCTCGTCCCCGGTTCATCGCACTTGTCAACTCGTTGTCGTGTCGTGTAACACGCCCACTCTTTTCCATTCCGCTTCCATTGCGGTGGAAGGATTGCGGTGTTCGCGTTACACACAGAAACCGGAGTTGCCTTTGTCACATTTTCTACGCGGAATCGTTCGCTCGCCAAGCTTTTTAATTACCTTTTGCAAATTACGCGGCCCCTTTATGCAACCGAGAAACTAATTTCAATACCCTCCCCGATGAATCTAGCTATCCGAGGTCCTTGGGTTTCGATATTCTTAAAAAAATTCCTCGAACCGAGGAAACTTGCGTTCTCGGGATAATTAACCGTTTCCGCTCTCAACTTCTTTCCTTCGATCGAGTTTCACGCGATGAAACAAACAAATCAACGTGAAATTGCTCCATCGACTAATTATTATGCCTGTACCGAAAATTCTATTACACCGAAACAACAATGATTTGCTACCACTGGTAAATTTAAGCCAGCTCGAAAGAAGGTTTTTCCGATAATTGGAAACACGTCCAAAACTGAGACCGAAGCGCGTCGTTCCCGAGGCGTATTTTTTTTCTTTTTTTTTTTTTTTTTTTTTTTTGCGCGCGGTGACTCGCGAGAGAGCCTATTTGAAAAGGCGGACGGAAAAAATGCACGCGGTGCACAGTATAAACACAGCTGGGAGGAGAGACGACGTTGTTGCATGAAACGCGACTCGAAATTACTTTAACCTTTTCATTGCCGTGTACAAGGCACAAAAGCCCGCGCCCGCTAGTCAATGACTTCGGGAACGCGTACACGGCCACGGCTAAATTGAACACGTAGCATTTTTTATGGATTACTTCCGGCACATTCTTCGCGCCACAAAAGAGTGGCATCGTATTGCGCGTGTAATTCACTGTTAGCGGTGGCGCCGCCTGCGAAATAAGAGAGCGAACGTTGAACGTAAATAAAAGCCACCTTTTGTCCAAATGTGAAAACGTGCTCGAGAAACGCCGCTTGTCCGCGCCACCATTCACGCTTTATTTCCATCGCGCCATTTTCTTTTTTCTATCGCGGTTTTCGACAGACAACGCGAAAGGAATCGTTTGAAATAAATTGTTCGATTCTCGCGATCGTCTTACGATCGTATCCTGCCACGTTTGGCACGTGTAATTTTCGATTCGTAGTGCTTTTGGTATTAACTGTGCTTGTGATGAACGATCCGCTACACGAACGTGCATAGACAGCTCGAACAAAGGATAATCTAACCTCATCAACGGCAATTCCTCGTGCATCTGATAAAGGTAACAGTAATGTTCGTAAAACGTTTGAACGTTCGTGAAACGGTAAAGTTTGAAACAAAACTTTCGAACGAATTTCGTTTTAAATAACATTAACTTTAAATATTCCGGATGGGGAAAACGTACGTTCACGTATCGTGTAACAATTTCGTGCAAAATATTTCTCGCCAAAGGACATTCCTCTTCGAAGGACGAATTAATGAACGTAATGAAGTTTATGTTAGCTTGTCCGCAGCGAAACTATCAAAATTGTTATCGAAGCTGGCTTCGTCGAATCTCGACCATGATAATCTATTATCTCTAGCCCCGGCGTGCAAACTCGTCGCCATAAGAGTCTTTGGAGTTACCAACTATCGCTTAACTTTTCACGACAGCACCGTGTTCACCTGATCGAGCATATTTGTCAATCCATAGGTGTACATAGCACGGATAGGAGATCATACCTCCGAGTTAATCGCTAGCTTACCGCTCGAAATTAATTAGTAACCGCGGTGAACCGCGTTTCGTATGCTTCTAAATGCCTGTTGCCCGTGTTTCGGGGACGATACACCGCAATAACGACCGTCTCTCCGTCGATCGTTCACCGCATCGTGCGCGTGTTTGAATGAAAAGAAAAATTTCTACGTAACGAATTAATAATCGTTCTATTATCCGATGGTATCGATAAATATTAATAATTCCAACGAACGCATCGTCAATTTTTATCCACCGTCATTTTTTGCTTCAAAATGAAGAAAATGTCGACGATATTTGGACAGATCGGTGATTATACTAATTTTCGAATCATACGTATAATTTAAAATGGTTCGGAGAGACGAGGGTTTCTCTCTCTCCGCGTTCACGTCGTTCAACTTGATAAAATTTCCATCGTAGCGACGTTACGGTGTAAATCCTGTTCTCCAGATCCTAGTTAGCAAGTCTGCGAGCGGGAGAATTGGAAGTATGTTTCGATTAAAATACAATTAAGCTGGGATTCATAGGCCGGGAAATTAAATTAACATAAATTAGCATCGGAAGCGCACGAGCG